CTAGTATGTTTTGCTGCAAAATGCTATTGCTTCAGCCTCCAACACAAGTCCAAAGTTCATAGTGTTTTGTGCCAGAGCTTAGCCTCTGCCATCACTACATGACTAGCAAGCCAGTTTATGTGCTGTTACATTTTGATCTGTGACTAAACAACTCTTTATCATAAACAATTCTTTCAGTTATTTAGTTTCACATTTCATCCAGTACTACTCTATCTGTACATATTACTGCTAATTCTCAAAAAAGGCATTCCACTCCACTTTGCAGGTTCTCCCTCATTTTATTTTCAACAGCACAATGTGAGTGGTTCAATCAACATTTTCAAAAAGTATTTTGTGGTTACTTTCCTGCCTTTAAGTGTTACCTGGGTCGACCATCACCTGAATCCTTTGGCCTTTTGTTTTAAAGCAGTAGAGGGGGCAGTCTTCTAATCTGCATACCTTTATAAGGACTATGGCTCTCTACACTTAAATACAAAGGTGACAAGTGCCTCATAAAATGTCTGAAATGGATTAGACTAGAAAGATCTCAAAGGATGTTGAATATTTTGTCCAGGAAACAAATAGATCATCCAACAACTGTTGAAATGAGTGAGGCCATGGGAATTCTGAAAAATCCCACTTCCATTTTGGTAGTATGTTTGTTTTTAGGTGAATTAGGAAAAGGAAACACACAGAGTTAATTAACTAATCCATGCCTTTCTTAGCATGCCATCTATGGTTCAAACAAAATACAGGACTATGCAGCACTTTAAAGACTAACAAGATGGTTAATTAGGTGATGAGCTTTTGTGGGCCAGAAAGCTCTATGGTTCAATTCCAGTTCAGCTAATTGTATACATGTAGGAAATACCACCTCGTGTCTCTCCTACTTTTTTGGTTGTCCTTTCCTCCTTTCATTCCAATAGGGTTCAACTAACAATTATCCTCTCCTTGGACAGTATCTCAGTATAGTTGGTGTGGTAACATCAGTCTTAACACATATGGTGGGATGTCACCTACTGTAGCTGGTAAGAGTCTAGAAAAAGCACTCAAGTACTTAAAATGTTTTGGATATAATGGCTCCATGAAATGGCATATGACATTTTTCTAACATTTTTCTGGGAATAACCAATGTCCCACATTAGTCATTCTGAGGGCCACAGTGTAGTTTTATATGTGATGTTAAAAGCTGATCCTCCAAATATCACAAGATTTTAACACTTAGCTTTAAGACAATCCCAATAAATAACAGGTTATCAGGGCACTGGACATGATAAGTCAGAGTTGGGTATCAATATTAATCATTTCCTCCCCATAAATAGCCTTCCAATATCAGTGTTGATATTTTCAATAAAAAAGTTGATTAATATTTTTGAAAAAAAGAAAAATTGTTCTGTTTCAAGCCAGTAAATGATTTTTTGTGATACAATAAGAATTTGATGAGTTTAATTACTGTGTAAGTGAGAAGCAGCAGAGAGAGGACCCCAATCCAAGCGTATTAATGCACACTCCATAATTTGGGCTTCTTCTTTGAAAATCACTCTCTGAGAGTCATATCCTGCCTGAACTTGAGTTGTTTGATGCTCTATGTTCAAGACTGGGAAACAGCAATCTGTCCCCTGCATCTGGTCTCTGGGCTTAACTTTAACACCTCTCTCTCTCTCTCAGGCTTTTAATCACCCTGGCTCACCTTCCACATCTGCAGATTAGAGACAATAATTCCCATCTACCTCATAGGCCTGTTCTGAGAATTAGAGAATGTTTTAAAAATACTTGGCACTTCAAGAGCTATACAGATATTAAACACTACATCTTCCTTAAGGAGTTTTTAGGTCATTATGATTCATCCCTTCTACAGGATATTGTATAATACTCAGCTTACTTTACAAAGCATTAATTCCAGCCCCTCCTTGGTCTGTTAGAGTTGGAATTAGTGCTGGTAGGCTGAGAGTTTTTTGCCCCTATAAGCCAGTGTAGGCAGAATCTTTTTATAATGGAGGTCATCCTTATTTCTGAAACAAAAAAACAGGACTATGAAGCACTTTAAAGACTAACAAGATGGTTAATTAGGTGACAGCTTACTTTACAAAGCATTAATTCCAGCCCCTCCTTGGTCTGTTAGAGTTGGAATTAGTGCTGGTAGGCTGAGAGTTTTTTGCCCCTATAAGCCAGTGTAGGCAGAATCTTTTTATAATGGAGGTCATCCTTATTTCTGAAACAAAAAAACAGGACTATGAAGCACTTTAAAGACTAACAAGATGGTTAATTAGGTGATGAGCTTTTGTGGGCCAGAAAGCTCTATGGTTCAATTCCAGTTCAGCTAATTGTATACATGTAGGAAATACCACCTCGTGTCTCTCCTACTTTTTTGGTTGTCCTTTCCTCCTTTCATTCCAATAGGGTTCAACTAACAATTATCCTCTCCTTGGACAGTATCTCAGTATAGTTGGTGTGGTAACATCAGTCTTAACACATATGGTGGGATGTCACCTACTGTAGCTGGTAAGAGTCTAGAAAAAGCACTCAAGTACTTAAAATGTTTTGGATATAATGGCTCCATGAAATGGCATATGACATTTTTCTAACATTTTTCTGGGAATAACCAATGTCCCACATTAGTCATTCTGAGGGCCACAGTGTAGTTTTATATGTGATGTTAAAAGCTGATCCTCCAAATATCACAAGATTTTAACACTTAGCTTTAAGACAATCCCAATAAATAACAGGTTATCAGGGCACTGGACATGATAAGTCAGAGTTGGGTATCAATATTAATCATTTCCTCCCCATAAATAGCCTTCCAATATCAGTGTTGATATTTTCAATAAAAAAGTTGATTAATATTTTTGAAAAAAAGAAAAATTGTTCTGTTTCAAGCCAGTAAATGATTTTTTGTGATACAATAAGAATTTGATGAGTTTAATTACTGTGTAAGTGAGAAGCAGCAGAGAGAGGACCCCAATCCAAGCGTATTAATGCACACTCCATAATTTGGGCTTCTTCTTTGAAAATCACTCTCTGAGAGTCATATCCTGCCTGAACTTGAGTTGTTTGATGCTCTATGTTCAAGACTGGGAAACAGCAATCTGTCCCCTGCATCTGGTCTCTGGGCTTAACTTTAACACCTCTCTCTCTCTCTCAGGCTTTTAATCACCCTGGCTCACCTTCCACATCTGCAGATTAGAGACAATAATTCCCATCTACCTCATAGGCCTGTTCTGAGAATTAGAGAATGTTTTAAAAATACTTGGCACTTCAAGAGCTATACAGATATTAAACACTACATCTTCCTTAAGGAGTTTTTAGGTCATTATGATTCATCCCTTAGTCCTGTTTTTTGTTGCAGCTACACCAGACTAACACGGCTACATTTCTATCACTATCCTTATTTTTAAATTTAGTTACAGCTGAAGGTGCTTATACAAGTATCTAAAACATTAAAAATTAACATCAAAGGCTATATTTCACCCTCCAAATGAAAAGAAAGCAGACAGCTTATTTATTACAGATAGCTCATAGTGTATGGGCCAGATCCTTAGGTGATGCACATTGGCATAGGCCCACTGTCTTTTGTGGATGTATACCAATATAAGCCAGGTGAGGCTCTGGTTGCATGCATCAAAGAGCTTTACTAACACAAAGTAATTAGAGTTAGGCATAGCTATATAGTATCAATTCAGGTCAGGGCTGGGAAAAGGAGTGAGAGAGGTTAAACCACATGCCAAGGCAAACCAGATAAGCAACATGATGACAGCTCAGGAGAACTGGCTCGTAGTCCTCTGAACATTCCAAGCTACATATATTGTAGGAGGTATCCCTGCCCACTAATCCTTCTTGCAAGTGTTGTCCAGTGGTTAAAGAAATAGACAAGCACTATAATGTGAATGAATAAATAGTACTTGGTTATTTTGTTGGAGAGTTTTTCTCCTCACCATTAGAGGAAACTAGATATAACAACAGAATACACTCTCCTGCTAATAGGAATGCATGGAGATAATTATTTCCTATCAGTGGTCTTTCTTTCTAGAACCAAATGAAAAAAAAAAAAGCTATGAAATGATGCCAGCTACTTGTTTTGGCATCCTTATGAATTATGCATCTGTTTAAGTAAAACTTTGATGTTGATTACAGCTCTTGAGCCTACTGTACCTAATTCCATCAACATCAGGAGCCACTGTTAAGTGCCTTCTAGGTTTTTCTTTTTTAAATATTTTTCCATCTAGTGGAGTGCCAGAAACATGTAAATCACACTTAAAATCCAATTTTAGCTTTCATCATAGAAATAATTGTACTCATCTGAATATTGTACATGATAGAAATTAAGTCCTGCACTAACACCTTGGCTACGTCTACACTGACATGATTTTCTGGAAATGCTTTTTAACGGAAAAGGTTTTCCATTAAAAGTATTTCCAGAAAAGCGCGTCTAGATTGGCAGGACGCTTTTCCGGAAAAGCACGTCTTCCGGAAAAGCACACGTGGCCAATCTAGACGCGCTTTTCCGCAAAAAAGCCCAGATCGTCATTTTCACGATCGGGGCTTTTTTGCGGAAAACACTACTGTGCTGACTACACTGGCCCTTTTCCGGAACAGTTTTCCGGAAAAAGACTTTTGCCCGAACAGGAGCAGCATAGTTTTTCCAGAAAAGCACTGATGATTTTACATTAGATCATCAGTACTTTTACAAAAATTCAAGCAGCCAGTGTAGACAGCTGGCAAGTTTTTCCAGAAAAGCGGCTGATTTTCCGGAATAACTTGCCAGTGTAGACACAGCCCTTATGTTCTGTGTTTCAACACAACACAGAAGCAGTTTCGTTGTGGAATAATTAACCCTATAATTTGCTTTCAATAATGGGGACCCAGTCACACACTTAATTATAGCATCACTAAGGAGCAGTGAAGTCAAGTATGATATTACTAGATAGGGTGTATCTAGCCTCTCATTGGCTGGAAAGCTGTCAGGCCTGATTGTGAAGTGCTCTAGTCAGAGGTCTTTCAAATATAAAGGCAAATAAATACCAGGTCCTTCTCTTTAGTCAGGCATGGACTGCTGCCTATCTGAACATCAGTAATACAAACTGAAGCTGCTTCGAAGTCATTTTGACACACCAGCAAAATATTACAGGAACGATTCTCGCTCTGTTTTATCTCCAAGAAAACCTATTTTGGAAATACCTCTCTGTACACTTTTTTTGGGGGTGTGCTTCTCTTGAAGGAATATGGCTCCTTTTGCATTGCAAGTTATAGGCCTAATATTTGGAGGCCTCGGCATGATTGGGGCTTTTGCAGTCGCTGCAATGCCTCAGTGGAGAGTGTCTGCTTTCATTGGAGGTAACATTGTGATATTTGAAAACATTTGGGAAGGGCTATGGAAGAATTGTGTATATCAAGTCCACATCAAGATGCAGTGTAAATACTATGACACTGTGCTAGCGCTCCCACCTGTTTTAGAAGTATCCAGAGGACTGATGTGTGTTGCTGTGATACTCTCTGTTATTGGCTTTCTGTTAACCATTACTGGCATGAAATGTACTCGGTGTGTTGGGGATAACAACCGAGTCAGGAGTATCATTCTGCTGGCAGCTGGGAGCATTTTTATCATATCTGGGATTCTAGTTCTGATACCTGTGTCTTGGACTGCCTACAACATCATTAGAGACTTCTATAATCCAGCAATCCACGCAGGCCACAAACGAGAACTGGGAGCTGCCCTCTATTTAGGCTGGTTGAGCTCAGCATTGCTCATTATTGGAGGAGCACTATTTTGTAGCTTTTACCGTCGTGGTGACAAACACCGAAGAGGGAAGTATTCATCACATGCTTGCCATGGACTGCCCAACTCTGAATACATGGAAACGAAAGCCCAAACCAAGCATGCTTATGTCTAGCTGCTTTGTGAGTTTTCTCTTCAATGTTTTAATTTGCAGTGATGGACATTAGTTCCTCCATAAGTGGCTAAAGGAGAAGTTGTTTGGGTCATTTGTAACTCACTGTTATCTATCTAATCTATCTATCTATCTATATATTATAAGTCTTGGAAAGACTAGATCATGTCAGTAAACATTGATTTCCCCCCACACACAGATCAAATGAATATTTCCATCTGACACAATCAAAATTTGCAGATAGGCAAAGAAAAATGCCTCTTGAGAATTTGAGTGAGCTGAGGGTATTTCCTTTATGTTTTGCTGTGTGATATTGACAATGTGTGTGTGTTTTAACAGTTATAAAATGTTAACTTTTTTAACTTTTGTGCCTTCTGATCTTAACATTCCAGGTATTCAGTAAACCAGATTGCCTGAAAGGGTTAAAACTACAGACAGTGGATTCTAGAATCTCCAGGAAGGCTAGAGAAGCATACATGAGTTGGCAGAAAGCCCAGAGGACCAATGAATACAGAACATGCATTTTTAAATTAGGAGTAGTGACCTTCCTGTTCTACCCTTTGCATGACCAGAGGACAGCTAGGAGACAAACTGAGTTAGGAACATAGCATGGAGTAGCCAATGCCAGACATGCCTAACAGATATGAGTAGAATAAGTGAGATGTGATCAGGCTACTCTTTGTTTTTGGAGTTCTGTACAGAGTACATGTAACTACCCCCTTAAACTGTAACTCTCCTAACAGAACCCCCAGGAAGCAATTCTCTGTGTTTTAACCTTCCTTGTTTCAATTGTTCTGTAATACCTAGCAACCAAGTAATGTTTCACCAAGTATGTTTTCTTTGTTAATAAAAATAACCTTTTTTTACGACCATGATCTGATGCCTGTGTCCTAGAAGGCAGGAGGTTCTGGGTGTATGCACTTATGACTGCATGGCCAACTATAAAGAAAAATCACAGACTTAAGCTTTCTCCAGCATGAGAGCTAAAGAGCTACCACATAATAAGAAATTCCCAAATGTATCTGCCTGGGTTTTTGCATTGGGGTGGTGGCAACGATACCAATCCAAGGCCAGGGCATCTGTGACCTTAGGGATTTCTGAAAAACCCAAAGTCTTTTGTAACAGGCTATTTTACAGTCTCTTGCAGGCCTCCACCTTCTGCCTCAAAGTGTCAGGCCCATCTTTGATGCTTCTTTGTGTGGTTATGAATTCTATGGTCTGAGCAGAGATGGGCAAGCAAATCTAAATCTGTCAAAATATTCTAGAATTGCTTACCTATTGGGAAAGCAAAGAGACTGTGCATAGGGTGCCCTCTGATCCCCCATCTACCACAAAGTCACTTGTTATGGATTCCTCTCTTCTGGGTTGGGGAGTGCACCTGGACAGCTATATGGATTCCCACAGACTTTGAGAGCTCTGAGACAAACTGTGATTCAGTCTCCTCAAATTTTAAGCTGTGCACAAAGCCTGCAAAAGATTTCTACCTGTCATCTACACCATGTATGTCTGAGCTGTAACTATGAGGTGTACAATATCAACATAGAAGAACAAGGCCCACACCATTTCTGTCATCTCTAGGTTGGGAAAAAAATCTGGTGTAAATAAGGCAACTATTAAGATCCAATCAAGATAGCTAATTTATAGGAAATACATGACTTAGCAAGTTATTTGATTATGAAAAGGTGGAGGAATCAGGATGTAAGTCAAACTAATGTATACTTTCTCTGATATTCTACTGATATGCATAAGTAAAACTTCTTTGGAAAGCAACAATGAAGTTAAATATATAACAACTCATTGGCTACGTCTAGACTGGCATGATTTTCCGGAAATGCTTTTAATGGAAAAGTTTTCCGTTAAAAGCATTTTCGGAACAGAGCGTCTAGATTGGCAAGAACGCTTTTCCGCAAAAGCACTTTTTGCGGAAAAGCATCCATGGCCAAACTAGACGTGCTTTTCCGCAAAAAAAGCCCGATCCCATTTTCGCGATCGGGGCTTTTTTGCAGAAAACAAATCTGGGCTGTCTACACTGGCCCTTTTGTGCAAAAGTTTTGCGCAAAAGGACTTTTGCCCAAATAGGAGCAGCACAGTATTTCCGCAAGAACACTGACAATCTTACATGAGATTGTCAGTGCTTTTGCGGAAATTCAAGTGGCCAGTGTAGACAGCTGGCAAGTTTTTCCAGAAAAGTGGCTGATTTTCCGGAAAAACTGGCCAGTCTAGACACAGCCATTAAGTCTCTGAGAATGGTTCCATTGACTTTAAATGGGAGTTGGTTTACATTTTAATTAACAACAATGCAATCCAAGGGCAGAGGGATCATTTCTATTATCCCACTTCTTTCTTCCTGACACATAGAAGCACCCCAGTTTCTACACACAATGGTGTTTCTTCACTGATTTGGAGTCGGATATTCTATAATTTATATTGAGGCTAAGTTGATAAGATATAGCTACTTTGAAAATGCTCAAAGAGTAAAAGCAAATCAGAAGCTACCTTTTAGGAAAAGTGTGCTTAGATGAAAAGTCAGGAGATCAGCACACAAGTTTTCAAGGAGCTGAGATTTTAGAGGATTCAGCACACTGAATCATGTAAAATACTCCGCACAGCCACATTTTCCCTTCCCTGCCTCCTCTCAGTTCAAGCAGATCCAGGTTCTTTGCCAACATTCTTTCCCCTCCTTCCACCCACCTCAACCTGATCTAACACTCAGCACTTAAATGTAGTGGTCTATTCCCTTACCAAGCTCTCTCCCTCACTCTCAAACTCTCTCTGATCCACGAGCCCATGCTCTTGCAGTCCCTTCTTCATGTATTAATCTCCCATTGTTTCTCCAACTTGCATCCAGGCAAGACGTTCTTGCAGGGGTATACCCTGTTTGAATTCATGACATACCCAAGAATGAGCTGTTCTGTTCATTCCCTAACCTAAAGTGCAAAAAGGTCTGATATTAGCAGCTGGCTTTGATCCTGCAGGTATGGAGGTGAGAGATAGAGAGAGAGAGAGAATGAGAATATGATATACACGCAGTCCCCGAGTTACGCGGATCCGACTTACGTCGGATCCGCAGTTATGAACGGGGATTTCTCACCCCGGAGGACTGGAGCGGCGGGACGCCTGGTCCTGCCGCCCACCTCCTCCGGGGCGAGAAAAGCTGCTCCCCGTCTCTCTGGTCTGCAGGGAGACTGGGAGCAAAGCCGCGGAGCATGCCCGCAGCGGGACAGCCCAGGCGTACCTGGGCTGTCCCGCTGAGGGCGTGCTCCTCAGCTTTGTTCCCCGTCTCCCTGGTCAGCAGACCAGGGAGACGGAGCAAG